GGGGGGGGGGGCTGTCTGTGGGCAAGAAGCAAAGAAGAGTTTTGCACCCATTTTGAATAGATATACCTGTAAATATATAATGTTACAAAGGCAAGATGGAACCTCCTCTGTTGTCTCTATATTATCTTAGGGGAGCTTAAATAGTTAGTGATACACATGCCTTTACCATGTTGCAAAAGGAGTCTCAACATACAGAATACATGCTAAAGTAAATCAGAAAGAAGCTTTTCGTATAATCTGCATTGAAGTCAGTTAAGTGTTCTTACTTGCAGAAGAGCATCAACGTGGCTGGTCCTATTCCTTTCTAACTGTACTGTTTTGCCTTACACATTCCTTTAGGTGTTTATTGAAGAAAACCCCTCTCCAAAGAAAATGTAGAAAAAGTTTTGGTAAGCATGTCTTAGTGATTATACAAAGGTCAGAACTATCATCCTTATTTTAAATATGATACAAAATATGTGTTAGTTTCAGAATAGGGAAAGGGGCATTAAAACAAATCATGAAACGAATTCACTTGATTATGCCATCATAGCAAGCAACATTATGGAGTTTAAAGGACAGGTTTTCAAAGATGTTTGTGGCCATTAGGACATTTTCTTACTGTGATCATTTTTCCTGGGGCTATATCAAATGTGGCCTTATCCTATAGTCTTCAATAAATGCTTAAACTTAAATGGAAGTGTTCAGTGCATCACTGCATTTGTTTAGATTTAGGAATATGTTTGTGCTGTGTGCTTTACTCACTGAAATGATATACTGTATATAAGGCAGTTAAGGGGCCATGCTGAGTGTTGTTGGAGGGGAAGTAGAATAGATGACATGTCTGGTCATGTGGGCAGGTAAGAGCTGCTCAAAGAGAGTGTGAGAGAGAGCATGAGAGAGAAATAGGTTGAAACTAGAACTCAACTTGTTTCAGTCTAAAGTTGGAGCAGAGTATGTTGAATATAAAACTCTGCATTCCACTGATAAGATTTTGCACAGTAAATGCTACAGATAATAACTAATTATGATTAGATCATAGCAATCTGCTTGGCTGCATTGTGGATATATTGATGGAAGCCACATAATACCCAGAATAGTGAAGATGACACAAAAGTGTCTCTAAAATTGAAAGATAAGACTGGGATGTAATAAATGTTTAAAAATATCCGTGCGTAAAAACAGCTTAGACTTTTCGTCCGGTAGTTCAACAACGATTCAATAGATGATCCTACACTCTCAAAAGCTATTTCTCTCTATAAAATCCCTTAAAGTGGAGAAAACACAGGACCTTTCGGAATAAACTGATGCCCAATACGCGCCTCAAAACGGGCACATTTTAAGCACAAACCTACTGCGCGCAAGGTTGAATGCCTGGCCTCCGTATACTGACACTCCGGATTCACTGCCACCCGTAAAAGAAGGAAAAAACATAGGCCTTCTACTCCCTTTTAAACCCCGACGCTGTCCACGTCCTCAAAAAGAATGGATCTAATTAAAACGTTGCACTCGTCATCATCGCCAAAGCTTTGCCAAACGGGCTCCGGTGGAGAGGAGGCTGGGAGATGCAGCACCACATGACTGAGTCTGAGCTGGAGAGGGATGGGAGTCAGATTGGGTTTCTCTTCTCTCATTGGTCGGTGGGCTGACTTTTGACACGCAGACCAGGGACCCTCCTGCCGTATATATAGGCCTGTTCGAACTTTATTATTCTAGCATCACGACTGCAGGTTTCTGCTCAGTTTGGAGTTACTCGTCTCACCTCAACTGTATGCCTGCTTGAAGGAGGTTTAAAAACAGGGATTTAGCAGCACAAGGAGTCTGCATGTCTGCGTAGACATGCTCAGCTTTGTGGATACTCGGATTCTGTTGCTGCTTGCAGTAACTTCATACCTAGGATCATGTCAATGTAAGTTTGAATATCTGCTCTTTCTCTGTGATGGATATTTTTTCCTTGGGTCCCATTGCTTGAGGATCTTGCGCTTTGGCTTTTGTTTGGGACTTACATGAAGGTCAACCTGGAGACAGCTCAAAGCACAATAAATCTCAACGGATCGAGCTCATGCAGAGGATTCTTCACGTTTTTTCGAAGGATACAATTGTTTTATCTTTGATTAGTTTCCGAAAGAGAGAAGTTTCTCTGCAGACAAAAGTTTTCTCGCTTTGAAAAATACCTTTTAAGTAGTCGCCCTAGTGTCTTTTAGAACTTTGAATGCATGTTGGTTAATCAAAATAGGTTAAGTTAACTTTTCTTTTAGACATGGGATGAAAAACGGTGTGGGGCGTTGTACATATTGTTCCATCAAGGCGTCCAGCTAATGATCCTTTATTATAGGGAACAGCTATGTCTCCCCCTGGTGGCCATGAGGGAGAACATCTACCTGGCACCAATTGGATTCTTCCTATTGATTTTCTATTTAAGAGAAGACAAATCTGTTTACGAAAAAGTAGAAATTAGACTAAATGCTGTCACTAAATTAATATTCTACATTTTGTCAAAAAGAAAAGCATGGTTTTATACCTTTCTTTAAAGATGCAGCTTACTGATTGAGATGTATCCTGCAATAGACACTACATTTAAAGTACATTGAATTGAAACTTTCTGACTAACTCTTTCATTGTTCTAGCACATAAAATAGGGAGATAAATTGTCTCACATCACTTTGAATGTCCAAGTGCGCCCCCTTGTGGTGTCGTGGGGACATTAAGCTTAGGGTTCAAGGGGAGGTCTCAGCTGTGCCAAACCCAGCCATGACCAGCTGATGTCCACCTGCAACAAAGTGTGGATGAGAGACACAAACATCAGCCATGACTGTAGGACACTCTCATCGGAAGTATAGAAGACGTTTTAACAGTTTTGAATAGTATAATTCAATTGAATTGAGCTGAAATTCACTCCCTTTTAACCCAAATTTAGAAAATGTACCTTAAAATAATATAGCAGCGAAAACCAATGGAGCATTAATTACAGATGTCAAACATTCTCCTTAACAAGTGAAATAGATATGATTTTGTGTTGGCAGTAGCAGGCTAAATATTCCTGTCCCAAGGGCTCAGGCTACCTGTTCAGGCCTGTTAGCAACCGCATCCTTAATATCTGGAATGCTATTGAACACTGAGACTCACATTTGCCAGGTTTATCAGACAGTTTAACAAGTTTAGTATGCAGAGATGGCCCTCAGCTACCGTTTTAGATATGAGCTAAACAGGTAGAAAATAATCTATTCTGACAATCCAAAACTCTTGACATGTTTTTTATACCCCAGATGATGGATAACGTCATCAAAACACAAACAATCCCAGCTTGATTTGTTCTGTAAATTGTTTCATTTGAATATAGGATTATAAGGCTGTAACATTTTTGCTTTGCAATCTAATTTTAATTCATTTAGTTTGGTGTCTGCCTCTCATTCAAAGTGTACACTTGAATAGACTTTTTTCTCATGCAAAAGAAAAACACTGCTTTCCCTTTTTGTTTCTATTCAAAAGATGTTGATACGTTTTAAAAGAATATAGCTCTGTGTAAATGTCATTGTTTATTTTTTAAGTGACTGTTTTGCTGTCAAAATGCTAACTGAATATTCCCTCTTCTCTTCCCACCCACCCCTTCTCCAACCTCCTCCTCCTCATCATCATCTCTCCAACATCACAGCGGTTAGTACACATTCATAAAATCATGAAAGCAATATTTCCTTAAAGATAGCTTTACCTTGTCTTGCCTTGCCATCTTTTTCCTTCCAAAAGCTGTTAAATAGTCCCAGAAAGGGAGACTTCTCGGTTGGTCTTGTCCATTTGAGCAATCTCATGGCTGGCGGAGCATTTCATTTAAGAATCTCTGCCCCTCAACCAAATTATTTCTTGCAGTTTTCTCCCTTCCTGTCCATGAATAGGTGAGGGTCCTATTGGCTAAAACTTGTGTCAATGAAAGCTAAAACCGCAGCTCTGAGGCACCCTTGGGGCCTGGTACAAAGGATCCTTTCTGAGGGGCAGAGGAAGGTTTGCCCCCCTAACAGCTGGCCTTGGATCAGTTTGTAGTCCTCCTCTGCTTCTTGGTCAGGATTTGAAAGCTGAACTCAGATAAGTTCTGAATAGTGAGATCTTCAGCTGAGATACATACAAGAAAGAAATTGAATTACTATCAGATTGTGAAAGATTGACCCCCCCCCCCTAACGTAAGACAAACATGAACCTTAAGATGGTTTGTTTATAAAGATTCTGATTATAATTGAGATTGCCTAAATCAACCTGCTGTTTGCAGCCTTTAAACTTTTTTAAAGCTGCAGTGTGCACTGTTTGGTTCTGGTAGCATTCAGAACATGTGTTTTTTCCATGGATGAACATGCTCTTACTTCTAAGAGGTTGTTGTATCTGGTTAATGATCTTCCTTTAGCATCTCTGTGCACATGTTGATCATTGCTATCACATGTACCTTCCTCTGCTGTGTTTTCATTGTGTTCCTGTATCTGCATGAGAATGTATTATATATCCTTGTGACAGAATTTCATCCTTTATTGCATGCTTAGCCGTTTCTCAAAATGGCCACTCATCCTATTGCTAATGCAAACGATAAGATAACTGGATATAGCCTATATGTTAAATGGCATGAAATAAATCAATCTTACATTTATTTATATTCTTTTAATTTTTTAGGGCAGTGTCAAGGTTAGCACATGTGTCCTATATCACCTACAATGTGGCACCACAATAAGGTCAAAGGGCAACTCTGCCTTATCACGGAAATGTCTTTAAACTTGCTTGCCCTTACCCTATAAGGTCAAGTTTGTTTACCTGCACGTGCTATTGATATCATCATCCACCATATTGTTTGAATATGACTAATAACTGGTTTTTATTTGCTCTAAGCCACATTGAGCGTAGTTCAAATCAGAGGCCTGCTTTGCCATAGGAGTATACAAGAACTGGCACGTTGCTAAAGCAGCGAGCCGAGACATCTGTTGGTGTTTTGGTCTGACTGATTGATTTTTCTTCTGCAGGGTCCAACAGGAGCGAAAGGACCTCAAGGTGACAGGGTAAGATGAAGTTTGACTATGCTTCCTTTGATCAAACAACTGTTATCAAATATGTAATTTAAGCATCTAACGTGGCACATTTTGGATGCATCTTTGGCACTGTAATTGTTGACGTGATTTGACCTTCTAACCTCAGTAGGCCACACCCCTTTGTTACATCACCCATAGGTCATAGTGGTTACACACAATGACAGTGAAGTAAATGGTTATCAGAGGTTTTAGTTAAATATTGATCACATTTATTTCATAAGATAGGTTTTTACGTTATTCCCCCAATTACGTCTTCTTATTATATCTTGTAATACCATCATTTGCTTTACAACTGGTTAACTTTTTTAGTTATTTATCTCATGTTTCTGTTTATTTATGAAGTAGACTATTCCAAGAATAACAAGGAACCATCCTACCAGCTCCTGTTAATTCAGTAACAGTGTTTTCTCACCATATCATTTGTGTTTTACAGGGTCCTCAAGGCCCAAATGGAAGAGACGGCCAACCTGGACTCCCTGGCCCCGAGGGCCCCGCTGGTCCCCCTGGACTCGGAGGAGTAAGTTCAATGATTACACGCGTAAAATGAGATTTATTGTGTAAATGTCAAAAGTGGTAAAAAACTGATGATGATGATGATAATGCAGTACTGGCTGGGATCTGACTTCCAATATTCCTGGTGATGCAAAAAGCATTAAAATATGGCTCTTTGAAGAGTGCATTTGACCCACAGTCAGCTCATTGTCGTCTGCAGGCAATAACAACAATAATAATGCACCCCTTGCTCTGTTGTTTTGATGTTGGATTGGAGAAGTATTGTATATCTTATTAGAGATGCCATAATCCTGTTACCTTGTGTCCTTTACCCATATGTTGAACACACAAGTGTTCTTTTAATATATTTTTCTTTCATATACAAACCCTAGATTAGTTAGGATAATCACTTTCATTTGAGCAAACAAGCACACATTCTAAATAATCTCCCAGATAGTATACATTTGTTTTATCTGACATAAGGGTTTTTATTGGCTGATTATTGTGAAATGCCAAATGCATGGTCGTTGTTATCAGCAGGAACCATGCCTCCTTATTAATTTAGGACAAAAGTGGCCCGTGTTATTTATTAGGTCTTAATAAATGTTTTATTATTTGATATTAAATATGTGTTTTTTTCTGATTTTCAGAACTTTGCTGCTCAGTATGATGGTTCAAAAGGTCCCGATGCCGGCCCCGGACCCATGGTGAGGGTCCCGCTCTTTTTACCACACAGCAGTATTAATCTACCTTTATTCCATGAGCCACAGACCTCACTGCACCTGTGCTGTTTGTTATTGTTATTGGTACCCCTACATCATACACATAGATATGAATAATCTTTGGTAAAATACTTATACCTCACAATGTATTCCTGTCCTGATACAGTTGCGTTTACTCTCATGATAAAGTGCAACAGCGTTGATTAAGGTAATGTTATGAAATGTATAAATACCCTATTTCTCTTTTTCAGGGTCTCTTGGGCCCCAGAGGTCCCTCTGGACCACCTGGACCCCCTGTAAGTACACACAGCTGCTACAAATTTAAACTGTGTATTGTTTTGATCGAACCTTTGCTCATACCCACAAGCTTAATGTGCCATGTTGTTCATATGAAGATTAATTTCCTCTTATCGTTCAACAGGGAGCTCAGGGACACACCGGACACCCTGGTGAGCCCGGAGAGCCCGGACAGACTGTAAGATTATCCTCTGAAATATTCACAACTCTACAAATTATCATGTGTTTGCTTTTGGGAACCATTCCTTGTCAGAATCCCACAATCACATGATGCCACCATCTTTAAAGTATTTGTTGTCTTGTTGGTTATAATGTTTTGTTTTTTCTCAAGGGCATTCTTGGTGCTCGTGGCCCCCCTGGATCCATTGGCAAATCTGGAGAGGACGTACGTATTTATTCATGTTTCTACCTGCACTTTTCAAAGGCTACTTTTGTTTAAAAGTGTTGTATAACTTAGAATTTGCCTACTGTCCTATAATAGGTTTGAGTTGTCTATATTCTTGCTGCCGAAAAGTCATCTAATCACATCACATTTTATTTGCCCCATCTCAGGGTAACAATGGCAGACCTGGCAAGCCCGGAGACAGAGGTACCTCCGGCCCACAGGTAAGAGATGTTCCCCGAAACAGGGACTAAGAAATACAAACAGATATAAGACAGACATGTGGAGTGTAAATATGGAGCATGCTTCAGTAATATTTTTTTTCATTTTGAATTGCAGGGAGCTCGTGGATTCCCCGGAACTCCTGGACTTCCAGGAATGAAGGGACACAGAGTGAGTGTCCATTGGATTTAAATAGAGCAACCGAAAAAGCCCCAATACAGGACAAAATGGCAGAAGAGCTTCCCCTGTGCTGTGTGGACTTACAGTACATATTATGCAATTAACTGCTGGGAATGATCATGGACCGTACTCCCTTTTTACTAGCTCCCGACGAGCTAGTATTAGATTCAATACAGAGCTTCGTTGCTACTATTTAAGATTTTTAGTTTCCCTATCCCATGACAATGTCTATAGCCAGGTAGTGAACCTCCTGTCATGTGGATGTATTTTTGGAAAGACTTTTTTTTCCCCCGTAAACATAATTGTTTATCCCGGAAACATATTCTTTTGATAACGTGGTCTAGAAGCTCTTTTGTTTATCTGCTTGTTTCTGAAGTAGAACCAAAAGTAAAACTGGTAAATAAATACATTATTGCACTGTATTACACCTACACTGTAATTAACCCTGCATATGACCCCACAGCCTTTCATGTGTTAGTCCATATATTCATCTTCATTCTCTTTTTGTGTGACAGGGTTACACTGGTCTGGATGGACGCAAGGGAGAGAATGGCGGTGCTGGTTCCAAGGTAAGGAAGGCACCTTCCTCATCAAAGCAGCAACAAATAACATTAATGAGCACTTAGAATGTAATTCCAACAATATAGAAGCAAAAAGAAAATATACACCTACAAAAATGTTGTGTTGCATTGTAAATGTTTTGTCAGGGTTTTCAATTTCTCTTTTTGACCTGTTAACCTTCGACTTTGAGTCTCTTTACTACCGGTATCTCATTAAACGAATCCACCTTCTTCTGTTTCTCCTATAGGGAGAGAATGGTGCCCACGGAGCATCTGGAAGTCCTGGACTGGCTGTACGTTTTTGATCAAGTTTCCTATTTACTAAATCTTTACTAAATCATAAAGCACCAATTTGTCTTTGAAGCCTTTTCTCATCAATATGTGTTGTATCCTCCCTTCAGGGATCTCGTGGTATGTCTGGTGAGAGAGGCCGTGCCGGCCCTGCTGGACCTACTGGTTCTCGTGGTGCTGATGGCAATCTTGGACCCTCTGGCCCTGCTGTGAGTATTGGCCCTTTAAATCTTCAGTTACTGTAAGATCAGTATATTATTTGAATATTCAGCTCAAGATACATATCCATCCTATCTATATCCTAATGGAAATACAATGATGTGCAGTATTATATCAGGGGATTATGCCACTAAATGTTGATTATATACATATAATTGCACCCATATTAGACAAACTTTGAGCAGAATGTGAGCTTTGACCCGCGTTACTTAATGTCTCCTTTGCTATTCCTCACAGGGTCCCCTCGGATCTGCTGGTCCCCCAGGTTTCCCCGGTGGCCCCGGACCCAAGGTAAGGGTGAACCTCTTGTCATTTGGCAACACATCCTCACAGAGAGATTCACGTTTAGGCCCAATAAAGAAGACAATTCTCATTAACATACAGTATAAGAGTCTTTCAATGTTCACCATCCAAAATGGCTTCCTACATACTATCCCCATGGGAATAGTTCATACATGTAACCTATAGAAAACACCGTTCAAACAAATATCGACACATCCTTAAGAAATACCATTATT